GTCCTTTTTTTAAAGCTGATCGTTTTGTGTTCATTTTGTTTAGTTCTTTTTTCGTAACAGATTTAATGTTTAGTATAGAGCTTAGAATAAAATTCGCAGTGTGAGATAGGCAAGAAGTAAAGCATGTAGCAACATCAGCACGGCAAAGGGCACTCCTTTAAAGACAAGGAAGGGCAAACGTATTTTAAGTCAAGTGATGGTGATTGCTGTATGAGTCGTACGATTTTTGACGCCGGGCCATGCTGCTAGTATATTATAAAGAAATTAAAATAAGATTGTTAAGAGTGAGATTAAATTTCATAAGAAAGGTATCTAATTAATTTATAGGTACCTTTCTTATGAAATTTTATCAGAAGTATACATAAAATACTATAATTTTATGCACATTTTTTTACATTTTACTGTGTTATTTGTATTTCAATTCATTTTATTGTTAATTTTGATATTTCATTTATGGAAAAATGTCGTAACTAAAATTAATATAAGAATAAGATCATATAAATTACATAAGATGATACTGATACTTGTAGGTACCCTTCTCAGTTGAAATTGAAAAATCAAATTAACTTCTCCACAAGTGTTTCCACAAAAAAAAAGCCTTAACAGCGGAGAACAATGCTTAACTCAAATAACGCAACTTAATTATATTCTGGTTGGTCTTCCGTATTTTATAATTACAGCTCGATTATAAGCACAAAAATACATTTCTTAATTACTGGGGATCTTCTGATTAGTCAAAATGATACAATTTACAACGCGCTAAAAAAGATCTATCTCATAAGGACACTTATGAAAGCCTGTGCGGCTTTTTAACTAATTTTATAATATTTTAACAACTTAAATGTAAAATCTATTATAATTAATGAAATAACAAATAATTGTATTAAAAATTCATTTTTCATCGAAAAAATTTTTTTGCTTTCAGAAAATATTGTCCATATTCATAAAAACAACTAAAAGCAAATAAAAGCATTTGAAATTAAACAATATCTTTGTTTTATTGTTTTGTATGTTACAATTCAGAGCTGATTTTCAGGTAGAGGGGAGGTCCAATTAAAAAAATACATGATTTGCTTTACTCAAAGATCTTGTGCTCTCAACTAATACAATCATTAAACTGAATGCGACAGAACTTCTAGAGTTTTCATGAAATTAGTTATGGGGGTAATAAATATAAAATAATATTTTTTCTATGACTTAAAAACAAACATATGTATAATAATTTCCATCAGCTGTGAATAGTTTCTGAAAGTTTCATTAACATTCGACAATTATTTTTATTTTTGCAAGATTTTTCAAATTAATGTCTGTTAAAAATTTGTTGTTTTACTAGTTCTCATGGAAATTTATAATATATATATATATATATATATATATATATATATATATATATATATTTCCATATGAGATAAAAAGAGCATAGCATGATGAAAAAGACGCCAAACGAAAACAAAATATTATCATCTAAATTATGTTATTTTTTATCAAAGTATTTTTTTAGTATTTTTTTACATTTTTAATCGTTCCTATGAAGTCCGAAAAAACAATGTATAATAATTTCCATCAGCTGTGAATAGTTTCTGAAAAATAATTCATTAACATTCGACAATTATTTTTATTTTTAAGATTTTTCAAATTAATGTCTGTTAAAAATTGTTGTTTTACTAGTTCTCATCATGGACCTATATATATATATATATATATATATATATAACTGTAATATATATATATATATATATATATATATATAATGAAATATAGTTTTAAGGTGAGCTATATTTATGGGATAAAGTGCTCAATATCAGAGATAGAAGGGTATGTAAATATAAAATAAAAGTGAACATTGAAGTCAACATTCAGATGCGAAGCAGGCTGTTTCATGCTAGACGCAATTGTCAGGCCGCTAGTGTTGGATTTTTCTCGCCCTGACGATCGCGTCTAGCATGAAAAAAGCCTTTCATGTTGATTTCAATGTTCACTTTTATATTCATATATATATATATATATATATATATATATGTGTGTGTGTGTGTGTGTGTGTGTGTGTATTATCTGTGTGAAGCGGGGACTATTCCAGCATACGGAAGCTTTGGAAGTGTGTCTGAAAACCATACCACGGGTTGACCCAAACATTGCGAGTGAAATTGGGTACACGAAACACTTTTATCCGTCGATAGCTGTGCAAGCACGGAGTCATAAGTCATCGTGACCGAGGGTTTGAGTGTGCTGGTGTTGTTCAGATTGTTTATCATTCGAGAACATGCTCTCTCCCAGAAACTGTAACTAAGGTCTGCTCACCATAGTTGCAGTATAAACCAAAGGTGGGCTCTGTGGGTGTTGAACAAACACAAATGTGACTGAGCGAGAGTCTGCAATAGGGATTGGATAGCCTCCATAGTAGAAAGGTGTCCTCGAATAGGAGTTGCCATATATATCATATATATATATATATATATATATATATATATATATATATATTACCAGCAATAGATTTGAAAAAAAAAAAAAAAACACTTTACAAAAATACGTCAATAAAACCTGATCTACAAGCGGATTTCTTAGAAAGAAAACATTCTATTCATACGAATCTATCGTAAAAAATATTTTCGGCATCAAAGGAAAGTTGGCTCTCTGTGCCGCGCCAGGAATTTTTTCTACCCGGAATCGATCCTTCAAATATACAAATCAACCATTCGCCCTTGCATGGAGTATTGCTGCCATATATGGTCTGGGGCACCTTCTGTTTACCTCGGAGTTCTTGACAAGATCCAGAGACGGATATGTAATATAATTGGCCCTGATCTGGCCTCTTGTCTACAGTCACTCTCTCACAGACGCGCCGTCGCCTCTCTCTGTCTTTTCTACAAATACTTTCATGGTAATTGCTCCGATGAGCTGCTTTCACTGGTTCCCAGACTCCATGAATTCAAGCGCCCTACGAGGCTGGCATCCCGCTCTCACCCTTACACTGTAGAAACTTTTAAATGTAGCCATCTCTTCTACTCCAATAGCTTCATACCTCGCACCTCTCGCCTGTGGAACACCCTTCCCAATTACTTGCTCGGGGCGTAATGCTTAAAAAAACAAAAAACAAAAAAAAAAAAAAAAAAACAAAACAAACAAAAACTAAAACAAAACAAACCAAAACAAACTTAAACATGTCTCTTCTTAGTAGCTACATAACTCAAATCATGAAACCTAAAACTAAGTTATCGAACTGGAATCATAAACGTAATTTCAAGACAGTTGAATATCAGTTAATGCTGTAAGTACAACCAAACAATAGTGGTCCTGCTATTCCTTGATAATAAATTAAAGCCTAGCGTAAATTGATTTTAATTTAATAAGACAATATATTCATAGAATAAAATTATCTCTATGCTGTAAATATAAAAAGATATGAGACATTTCGGAACTTTTATTTATACCATCTTTTATATATTCTCCATTCCTTCAAGACATAGGCAATGATCCTCTCCACAATTTCGTATCCTTTACATGTGTCCCTTTACCATCTCTCCAATCCATTTAACTAAACCCGTTAGATATCTTACTCGCTGTATCTTTCAGTCCCTCTTGACTTCAAAACATCCTGTGAGTTTAAAATTCTCTAAACATTCTTCCCTCTTATGTATGCTAGAAATGTCAATTATCTTTTTCTGATGCTAAGCAAAAGTGTTATTTTTGTTCCTGTTTTCTTTAAAACTTCTTTGTTGATCCCATGTTTCACCATCGGCATGCTCAATTCCAATTCTTTGGATGTTTGCATCACATTTTCCGTCGTATGTTATAAAAATTCCTAGATAGTTAAATTATTGACGGAGTTTCCTTCCTAACCTTTTGTTTGAAGTAGTGTTGAACGCCAACACTTTGATTATGTCAACATTTTCTCTTCAAGTTAGATGTTATATCCATTTTAGTTTTCGCTGTTGTTGAAAGTGCTCAAGTGATGTGGTTTCTGGTATTTGGTATAGTTCTTTGTTTGTGATTCTGTAGCGCCAGTCAACAACGTTTGAAGATTCTCAAGTTTTACTCGCACAAACCATTTTAACCATAGATCTGAGAAAACAGTTGTATACTGCTTACAGTTTAGATATTTCTGAACGGGTTTGTACGCCATGCATAATATCCTTATAACAGTCTTGGTCTAACAAAGCTTTTTAAGAATACTGTCAATGAATTCAATATCGACATAGAAAATGATAAATTCAACAATGAAGTGGGTATAGATATAAAATGTGGTAGAGGCGACAATAAAAAGATGGAATGAAACCAATAATAAAATATTAGTAATTTCATTATTTTGGGTGGGCGAGATATTTTAGAGTCATATTTAATTAAGATTCCGGTTCAAAATTTCAAGAAAGTTACCGAGTATGATGATAAATTTCTGAAGAAGACCAAAATGTGGAACTGCTGAAACATCGTTTATATAACAACAAAGATGAACATTTTGATACGAATAGCGAAAAGTATAGAATAACTTTTAGAATTACCCATATATGTCTTTTAATGATTCTTTAGATTTATACAACAGAATTCATAAAATTGTTTCGCTTTGGAAGAATAGCGTATAAAATAAGTAGCTTCTACCTGTTTATCGGTTTCAATAATTATTATGAAATGGAATCGGATTTCGATTTAGAGGTGGTTGCTTTTATTTTTCCAGAAGAATGTTTAGTCTTTTCAGATATCATTTGATTTCTTTGTGTTTTTACGGGTATCAACTCTTTATGCGTCATTTAAAACCGAATTTATTTGTTTTTGCGAAGGAATAGCGATTTTTTGAAAAAAAAAAACAATGATTTTTAAAATACAACTCCTACTATTTAATCCATAACTTGGAGGAAGAGGAGTCATACCTTTCCCCAAGGGTATTTGCGCGTAAGTGAATGTAACTAACTTGATTGGAATTCGATCTCAGCTCTCCAAATTCAGTCTTGGTCTGACGAAATTCTCAATTCGAGTCATTATATTTTACACCACTCCCGCGTGCAAACTTACAGCATCTGGTATTCCCTAGCTGTCACCCATCTAAGTACTGAAAAGGTTCGATGTTGCTTAACTTCGGTGATCGGACTAGGACCGCTGTTTCAAAAAGTCGATTTCGGGAATACAGTAGAAATGTATGAATTCGCTCCTCCTCCAACCAGCTCGGTGTTGCAACCCTTTAGCTTTGTAAGACAATCTGTCTTTGGCGTCTATCTAGCGCTTCGGCCCTATTAAAATTCACTATAGCTGCAATGATAGGGTCTCTATGGATCGTTCGAGTAATGGAGACAAAAATGGATAAAAAGAAAGAAAAAGAAATCAGATTTAGGGACATTCTGTAGTCGCCATTTTACCATCGCACATGTTATACAAGAATAATCGGTTTGGGGGGTGGGGTTTAAGGACAGTCGCAGAGGTGTAGAATAAAAGAAAATGAGATTTTTTTTTAATAAACAAATTTATTTTCTTGGTTTATTTATTTTAAAATCGTGCATTTTTCTAAATTCTTTTTATAAATTTTATTGTAAAAATTCATAAATTTTATTATTGTAAAAATTTATATATTTTATCATTGTAAAAATTTATATATTTTATTATTCTAAGAATTTATATATTTTATTATTCTAAAAATGTTCTCTTACAATAGATAAAAAGTTTGACTTTCTGAATATTTTATTAAAACAAAGGAATTTTTTACGTTTGTTTGACTTAAAATTATATGGAAAAAGTTTTATATTTCTTAATAAGTTTTTCGCTACAAATCAGAGACAAAAAGAATGAAACAAATACGATTCAAATATCTAGGAAGTGTTTTCACAGAGGACGGAAAAGGCAACACCAAAACACGAAGGATTATTGGAATATAAAAGATGCCTTCCAAAAGCTAAGCAAATTATTAGGAAATAAAACAATTTCGTTGGAATCAAAGAAAAGTATGCTGAGTGCTATGGAATATCAGTCGTCCAAAGTAGCAGTGTTTGCCTGACAATATCCTCCCAGAGGCAGAATAGACTTGACGCAACAGAAATGTTGTTCTGTAGAAGGTTGCGAGAATACCATAGACTGATCATATGAGTAATGAGTGAGTGAATATGGAAATAGGTCATTTATACTTAGAATCAGAAAGAAACACGTGGATGTTCTATAACATATTACGAGAAAGGGATTGGCGAATATGATACTCACAGGACACATCGATGGCAAGAAAAACAGAGGAAAACTGTGAGTAAGTTTCTTTACATGCTTTTGTAAGGGGATGGCAGGATATGGAGTGGAAGGGATGATGAAAATACAAATCTTACTAAGAGCTACAAAGGATAGGAAGTAGTGAAGAGCCATGATCCCCAAGTCTTGTTCAATCACGGCGCATAGAAAAAGTTGACAAAATTCACAACGTTATAAATTATTCAAAAGTATTTTCTGTTTGGATTACTGGGATGAGGAGTTATCATTATTTACATTTGAACTTCTTCGGCAGTTGTGACATCCGGCCTTCTTCAGTTGCAGAAAAAGTAACAGAAGAGTAACATTCAGAAAAACAATATTAAATAATAACTCATATATACCTCGGAAGAAAACATAGATATCAATGCAAGTGACGCTATACACAAAGATAGAACGTTTAAAATGGTTATATTGTCACTTTTTAAAAATACTAATTGTCATTTTTTTAACTTATCAGAGAATATGAAAAGAACTTACTTAAAATAAATAGACAAAACTTGTCTATATTATTTAATGAAACATGCATCAATGAAAATTGCTAAAATATACACAATATATATATATATATATATATATATATATATATATATATATATATATATATATATATATATATATATATATATATATATATATATACTATACTATACTATACAAAAGGCTTTGATAATGTACGACGCAAAAACTATGTTTAAACTTTACAAAAATTTGATTTGTTTAGGGAAGATAAAGAATAATCAGAACCTACACTGACATCAATCCTACTGCATCCTGATATGAAAAGAATTCATTAAATAGAGAAAAATATGTAGAAATTAAATCAAAGCGGATTTAATCAACCTTTATCGATTCTGAAAAAAATAGAAGTCCTACCGGGATTTATAAATGTTGGATATAATCTTAAGAACGTAAGATATGCTAATGACACTGTGTTGATGTCATACACAGAAAGGACACTGTAGGAACGCCTAAAGAAGAGAGTAAGTGAAAGAAAGAAGAAAGGACTAACTATCAATTGTAAAGAGTGAGAATGCATAATTGCTAGCGAAAAGAACCTCGTGACATGCGAATTAAAAATTGCAGATAAGAAAATCAAACAAGTACAACTATTGAAATATATGGGAAGTGTTTTAACAGTGGAAAGAAAATGCTACACCGGGAAAGTGCATTGGGATAGTGAAAGATGCTTTCCAAAAGCTAAGCAAAGAATTAGGAAATAAAACAATTACGTTGGAAACAAAGAAATGACGCAACAGAAAATGTTGTTCTGTAGAAAGTTGTGAGAATACTATGGACTGGTCATGTGAGTAATGAGTGAGTTTTTAGGAAAATGGAAACTGGACATTTATACTTCGAATCAGAAAGAAACACGTGGACGTTCTATAACATATTACGAGAAAGGGATTGGTGAACTTGATACTCACAGGAGGTAATGAACGATAATACTTAGGACAAGAACAACACATATAAGATTCACCAGCAGCGCGTAGAAGAAGTAGTCAACTGCTAGAAGTGAGATAAGTGAATTCCACAATGAAACTACAACTGTAGGATATCTACCAACCACCCCATGCGGTCAGATGTGGCACAAGGCCGAGTTTATTGTGGGGTATCCGAGCACGTAGGCTGGACCAAAGATTCCCGTAGACACCGTATAAAATGTGGTCAGGTTGATGTTTCCCGAGACGAAACTCTGCTCTTCGACATAGCCTCGTCATGGGATTCTCTCTGCCCGAAGGCAGATATTTTAACCACTGTACGTGGAGACGAATTTCCAACATATAGTATTTACTACTGTATTTATGTAACTGGTGACATAACCATTATCGTCCGTAGGTATGCTACAACAATAATGATACATAAAGGTAGATGGAAGTTCGGCCTTTTTCAGTTGCCTGTCGAACAGAGTAACATTCAGAGAAATATTGAGTAAAAACAACTCGGAAATAAGCTACGCGATCTCAACGGCCCAAACGTCGAGAAGAGGGCAGCGCCAGTCAGGCTGGCTTAACCAAGGCGGACTTTGATAGACCAAGCATCCGACAGTCCGATACAACTAGCTTTGTCAGATCTTACCTCTCACAATCCACTTTGAGTCGCGAAGGGGGCGCTTCTGACCAAATGTGTTGGCTTCTCCGTCGTGCAGAATTTTCCTCCAAAATTGAATTCACGCAAATGGATTCACAGCCATCTACGCAACCGCCACCAGGAGATAGAAAGCGAAGAGGGAGAGATGATGGCGATCCAGATGCGAGTGGATGCCGACGACCCAGGAAGAAAATGTAGATATCGATGCTCTATGGTGTTGTAGAGTAGTTTCACAGTGGAGGCTTGTATTTCACTAAGTCGGTCCTAAAAAGGTTCGACGTACAAAAACGTTAGGGACTTAATATAATTAGTATTGACGCAGAGAAAACTAGTGGTGGTCGCTGATACTCTCTTAGTGTCCCACATGGACTGACTGACCAACTCACTGAGCTACTGACAACGACTGCTACCACTACTACTTATTATAGGTGGGAGAGTCTATTAACTATAGAATAGGTGTGTTCCAGTATAACATAAGGTTAGCAAGTAACACTATTAACACATATAGAGCGATTAAAATGTTTGAATTGTCATTTCTAAGTAATTATTGCAGTCGGGTAAAAAGACTTAGATTTAGAGAGAAATCAAGGACCTGAGATTCAGTGAAAGAGAATGAGAGGGAGTAAACAAGTGATATAGCGAGATGGACGAGAGAGACAGAGAGAGAATGTAAGAGAGAGAGAGGGGGGAAGCGAGTAAGAGAGTGTGAGAGAAAATGAATGAGAGAAAGCGACATAGAGAAAGCAAGAGAGAGTGAGAGAGAGAGAAAGCTAAAGAGAGAAATCGAGAGAGATAGAAATCTAGTGAGTGAGCATCAGTGAAAGAGAATGAGAGAGAGAGTAAACAGGAGATATAGCGCGGTGGACAAAGTGAAATAAAATGAGAGAGAGGAAGAGAAAGTGAGAGAAAATGAGAGAGAGAAAGCAACATAAGAAAACAATAGAGAGAGAAAGGTAAAGTAAAGAGAGAAATCGAATGAGAGATTAATCTACTAAGTGAGAGTCAGAGAGAGAGAATGCATAAATAACTTTATATTAAAACAAAAGCAATTTTAGCGTGTAATATTTAAATAGAATTATATGTAAAACATTGAATATTTCTTCTTTAGTATTTTTAAATTTTAAAAAGGTTTTAATATTTCGCCCAGTACAAGGCTCAAGAGCCACTCAAGATAGAGGATTACTGAATGGTGTTGTATGGAAAGTAAAAAGTATATATTATTAGGATATATAGGATAGATAAGGGTTGACTTCAGAGTCGAATATGTTAAGATCGTGGAGGCTTTTATAGCCTTGCAGCTTAGACCAGACACCGGGTTCGCTCCCAGGGTGCGGCTTTTTCTAGTCGAACGCTTGTGGCGTAGAAATAACCCTTCGGCCAAATCGTTACTTACGAAATAATCCAATGAGACGAGATTGTAACAATAAGAAAATTTTATTCGGTTGTAACCTTCATCTCTAGAAGAGCGATTCAGAGGTGGGGCAAGTTCCAGGGGTGGGGGCAGAACCAATTAACGGGCGTGTCTTCCTTTTCGCGCGGCAGCTAGCGGTCTTCTGCTGCTATCTGAGTCTTTCTGTGTGTATCTCTTTTTTTGCTGCTAGGAACCACTATCTTATAAAGAACAGCGTTCTTGCCAGCTCTATCTAAAAAAGCAATTCATCAAGAATTCGGGGATTAGCTTCACTCAGTGCTATTGTTTGTCAGGGTCATTTGACTTTGGGAGGTCCACTCCATTAAGCTGATCTTCTTTGTCGAGATACATAATTGTCAAAGCGATTTCTGTGACCAGCTG